TGGTGCCTGTTCCACCTTTCCCACGCCACCCTCCAGTATGCCTGTGGGGGTCTATGCGCTCTAGCCGCCCATTTCATATTTTTTTGTATCTTCAATTTGGTGAATGCATTCATTTATGTGCGGAGGTTTTGTTTGTAACCATTTTCTGCTTATACTTGTGAGTGCGGCGGAAGTAATGTGGTATATTAAGTATCTGTCAGCTTTTCTAATGCTAGTTGGTAGGCACTGGAGGATGTAGTGTACAGGTGCTTGTGGTAGGTTAATATTGGTCACCTTTTGTATTAGGGAGTGTATGCTGGCCACAGTTTCCCCAGATCTTGGCATGTCCACCACATGTGCCGCAATGTTCCTGGATGTTTGTTGCATCTCCAACAAATCCCTGAATGTGCCGGTATGATATGTTTAATTCACGTAGGGACCAAGTACCAGCGGTACAGTATTTTCCTACTTATTTCCAAATGGGATGTGTTCAGTGTTAGGGTTTTGTTTGCGCAGAATATGTATGCCCATTGGTCATCCATTAGTCTCTTGCCCAATTCTGTTTCCCACGCTTGGACAAATGTAAGGTCATGTGGGGATTTTGTTAGATAGTTTTGATTGTATATCTTAGATAATGGATGTGAAGGCTGTTTGTTCTGTAGGCACATCTGCTCTAGGACTATAAGGTTCGTACACCTGTCTTTTGAGGGAAGTAAATGTTTGTGTTTTCCCAGCCAAGAGCCAATCTGCCTATGTGCGAATTCTGCTGAGTTAGGGAGTTTGTATTCCCTTTGCAGCTGGTTAAATGGTATAAGTTTGTGTTGGTCATATAGTTGGTAGAGGTGTCTCAAACCTGTCGTGTTCCAAGTGATGATGTTCACAAAGGGTATGAGTTCTGTGAAGGAAGAAAGTGGCATTGCGGGTGACAGTGTTGTGTTCGTTTTATGGATTTTGTGATGTCTGTCCCATTCTCTCAGTGTTGTCGTGGTTGTAGGAGACATGTGTATGTGTTTTCTCCTGTGTTGTGGCAGTAGCCAGGCAAGAGAAGTAATGTGTTGTCCATCTGCGTGTGCCGCCTCAATGTCTATCCATGAGATTGGTGTAACGTTGTTGTGAGTTGGCTCATGACGGCCACTCTATAATACGTGGTGAGGTGTGGTAGGCCCATGCCCCCCAATTTGTATGGTAGGTACATAATGTTTGCCGCTATCCTTGGCTTTTTGGGTGCCCATATAAATGTGTTAATCACTTTCTGAGCTATCTTGAGGAATGTTTGGGGTAGTTTAATTTGTAATGTGCGGAATAAGTATTGCAGTTTTGGCAATATTAACATTTTTACTGGAGCAATTTTTCCCATCCATGACACAAATTTCATCATCTGTTGTTTTATAGAGTTTAGGGTTTTGACGTAGTTGTCTCTGAGCAGGCGGTGTTTTTGTTTTATGAAATTGATCCCAAGGAATGTAAGTCTCTCTTTCCATTCATATTTGTGTGTCTGTTTCAGAATTGCTGGGTGTATCAGGGAAGGTATGATGGTCGCTACTCTAGTAGCGGATATTTTTGCGAGGATTTTTGTGTCAGTATGTAGTAGGGAGATGGGGCGTAGATTTTTTGGCTGATCGGGAGTCTTCCCCTGTTTTGGTAATGTGGCTATGTGTGCGAGTAACATCTCTGGTGGCATGTTTCCCGATTGTACTATGTTATTTAGTGCTGTGACTAGGTGCAGGGCTAGAGTGTTGTGCAATGTTTTATAATATTCTTTGGTCAAACCTTCTGGGCCCGCTGATTTCCCTGATGGTAGTGAGCGTATTGTCTGCATCAGTTCTTGTAGTGTGATTGGTTTTTGTAGACTTTCTTTATGCAATTGTGTGAGAGTCGGTAGTCTTATGTTGGCGAGGAAGTTTTGTATTTCAGTGTGATTGGGTTAGTGTGTCTCTGTATCGTCCCGCAGGTTATAAAGACTTTTGTAGTAGTTAGCAATCATTGTGTTAATTTCTCGGGGGTCGTATATTTTCCCTCCTGTGTTATTGAGTATGTATGGGATTTCTGATTTTGATTGTTTCTGCCTCAGCATTGACACTAGCGCTTTGCTAGCTCTTTTACCCTGTGTGTAATGCCATAATTTGAGTTTGTGGAGGTTTTGGGCAGTTTTGTGGAGCAGCAGGTCATTGATTTGTTTAGTGGTATGTGCTATATCTATTAGTCTTTTGTCTCTGGGTTTTATTAATTGTTCATTATTGAGATCTCAAAGCTCTGTCAATAATTGTAGATATTTCTTTTGTGTGCTCTGTTTTATATACGCTGCTCTGCTTATGAGTAGTCCTCTAGTTACTGCCTTGTGGGCTTGCCATAGTGTGGTGGGCACGAGCTCCGGATTTTGATTTGTCTGGAAATAGTCATTTATGTCTGTTTCTAATTTAGTGTTAAAGTCTGCATCAGTCAGTAATGTGTTGTTCAATCGCCAGGAGGTGTTTCCCTCTGTGGTTGTAAGTGTCGTGGGTTGTGAGTGTTACTGGGGCATGATCTGACTACACAATGTACCCCAGCTGACATTTGGTCACCTGTGAGATCATATCACGTGACACCAGAATGTGATCTATTCTAGAATGCATTTTGTGAATCGCTGAGTAGAATGAATACCCTCTCATGTTTGGATAAAGGGTACCCCAGATGTCATAAAGGCCATAATCTGAAATAAGTTTAGTGAGGGCCTTACATTATGGGTTTAGTGCTTTGGATCTGGGAGTGGATGTAGGCGCTGTCGTGTCCATCCGTGGGTGTAGTACATGATTGAGGTCTCCACATATTATTAAAGAAGTCGTGTTATGGTGGGGAATCTTCAGTACCTTGTGTAGAAAGTTGCGTTGGTTGGTGTTTGGACTGTATATCCCCACTAAGGTATATAATGTGTTGTTGATATTGCAGTGCAGTATGAGGTAGCATCCCTGGGCGTCTTTTTTCATCTGTAAAAGTTCAAAGGTTAGTGATTTATGGGACAGGACAGAGACACCTCTTGTTTTAGAGGAGTAAGTGGCGTGATATTGGGTTGTATATTCCTGTTTCCCAAACTCTGGGACCCTGCAGTGTGCAAAGTGTGTTTCTTGAAGACAAAGAATGTCTACATTGTCCTGTTTAGCACCTGCTAGTAGAGTCCTGCATTTGTGTGGGGTATTTAATCCCCTAACGTTATGTGATTGTATTTTCATATGTTGTTAGTTTTGGGGGAACATCAATTGTGGTTACATCTGTGTATTCGTTTCGCAGTTTATGGTGCCTTTTTTCGAGGTGTGGAGTAGGTTGGTTTGATTTGCTGACCTTGTGGTTGTTTCTCTCGCTTTGAGTTGTACAGTGAACCTGGGTCGGGTCGGTGACACTTTGGTGGGATTTTCTGGAAAGGGGAGAGGGGAACAGAAACTGGGGGTAAACATAAACTAGATATTTACATAACCTCTGGTCGTGAGGCATGGTACTCCTATGGGTACCGCGGCGGTGGAAACTTCTGTGTTTCCTTAAGGTGGCGTCGGGTCTAAATGATACTCTATATAATGAGTCAGGGCTGTGGGTTGAACATTGGCATACATTGAGTACATATCATAGGTGTTGCAGATGTTGTATAACTTAAAATATTATACATTACATTTTTGTAACTTGTATATCTTAGATATTGAAGACATTTTTTTTTACCATATTACATTCTACATTACCTATGTATAACTTGTGGTATAAAAAAGAAAAATCTTAAGTCTAAAACTTATTGTACCTTATGTATTTATACCTTGTATATCCTAGGTGTTGAAGACAATCTCTAACATAGCATATAATACATTACATATTTATAACTTGTGGTGTAGGAGACTTTAGATCTAAAACTTATGCTTTGTGTCACCTGTGCAGCACTCTAGGCATTGTATGTTTGTGAGTGCCATGGGCTTCTTAGACACTGTGCTAGTGCTATAGTATGCCTGACTGTCCAAATATCCCACTAATCTCCCTCCAATGGTCTAATTGCCCTGGCGTGTCACACAGACGACATCTATCATCTCATATTTATCAACTATATAATGCAGCATGTTTTTAGTTTTAGTTACTTGACTGTTCCTACAGTTGCACTTAGCATATTTATGTTGCGTAAGATGCAAGTTGCTTTGGGTCATAAGATGGGAGAGTGGAGATTAATTAGCAGTAATAACCCTTAGCAGGTAACTTACATGGTCTCTTACTGTGGGAAATTTGAACTACATGTTGCTTAAAGTACAGGTTGTTTACATCATTAGGTGGGGGAGTAGAAAACAGGTTAGCAGTAATAATTCTTAGCAGTTAATTTACGTGGTCTCTTACCATAGAGAGATTGAACCTTATGTTGCTTAATATGTAGGTTGCTTTAACCCATTAGGTGGGAAAGTAGAAAGCAGGTTACCAGTAATAATCCTAGGCAGTTAATTTACATGGTCTCATACCATAGAGAGATTGAACTGTATGTTGCTTAATATGCAGGTTGCTGTAACCCATTTGGTGGGAAAATAGAAAACAGTTACCAGTAATAACCCTTAGTAGTTCATTTACATGGTCTCTTACTAGAGAAAGATTTAACCTTATGTTGCTCAAAATGCAGGTTGCTTTATCTCATTAGTGGGAAAGTAGTAAACAAATTAACAGTAATAACCCTTAGTAGGTAGTTTACATGGTCTCTTACTATGGGAAAATTGAACCATTAGTTGCTTAATATGCAGGTTGCTTTAAATCATTAGGTGGAAGAGTAGAAAACAGATTAACTGTAACAACCTTTAGCAGGTAATTTACATTGGCTCTTACTATGGGAACGTTTAACTATATGTGCTTAATATACAGGTTGCTTTAAAACATATGATGGAAAGATAGAAAACAGATTAACATTAATAACTTTTAGCAAGTATTATACATGGAGATCAGTCCATGCTGTGTGCAGTTATAACATGTTTGCTTTTGTTTTATACTTGCAGTCTTTCAGTGAGGTTTTTTACGTGGGGGTAGCTCTGCTCCATTCAAGCTGCAAATGACAAGGTGGTGAAGCCTGCGGTTCCGGTTCTTTTTCTGTGAGTCCCCAGAGGTGCAATTTTCTTATCCCGTCCTCCGGTGATGTGATAACTTGTGTGGAATCCGTCTTTTGTTAACAGCATTTTTGTTGGGAATCCCCAGCGGAATCTGATGCCGTTGGACCGCAATGTGTTGGCTATTTGTGAGAAGTCTTTCCTCCTGCGTAAGGTGGAGGCCAAAAGTTCCGCAAATATTTTAATCTCTGGGAAGTCTGCCGGCGGTTTCACTTTGATGCGGCTCACTCGCAATACGTGCTCTTTTATATGATAGTAATGAATGCGCATCAAGACATCTCGGGGTGCTGTTTCAGGCAAGAATCTTGGCCTTGGAAGACGATGCACTCTATCTATAAGCAACATATCCGCTGGTTTCTCTGGAACATATGCATGAAGGAGACCTCTAACATAGGTTTGTAGGTTTTCTGTTAGTATTGATTCTGGTATCCCTCTGAGGCGCAAATTATTTCTGCGCACCCTATCCTCCAGGTCAGTTAGTTTCAATTCAGTAGCAGTGAGCTTTTGTTCGATCTGTTCCATGTGTGTGGCCAGATCGTTACATGCCGAGGCAAAGTCCTCCATTTTAGATTCAACATGTGATGTCCTTTTGCCCAGTTCTTGAACATCTTTCCTTAATGAGTTCATTGAGTGCTGCTAAGTTGTAATCAACTTCTGTGACACTGCACCAGTGCCAGCTGTAGGTGACTTTTTGTGAGCTTGTCAGGGTCTGGATCTATCTCTGTCAGAGTGGGGCACTCTGTGCCGTTGGAGCTGTCGCCTCCATCTTGAGAGAAAGCCTGAATCTCCGTCTGCTCGTTTTGTGATATATTCCCCAAAAAGTTAAGTTTTTCTGCCTTTGTGGCGTTCTTCTTCCCCTTTTGTTTTGCAATGTCGCCTTTGTTGTCTTTATATGTGCTCAGATTGTCAGGATGGCATCAGATTGTGACCCTGTGAGCCAGAGCTAAAGGATTAGGCAACCATTGCTCTAGGCAGTTAGCCATGCCCCCTCATCGAAACATTTTTAAAGTTTCATTTGATGGCATGATTTTTCCACTTTGTACCTTACATACCTGTACGTGGTCTAGAATGTAAATTCCTGCCATACCCAAATGAGACTCAAGGCTAGCTTACCTGGGGGCCTTCTGGGAGATTATTCGTATTCTTCTTCAGATATTCTCAGTGCATATACATTACATGCTTGCTTCTCAATCATTCACCCAAAAATGTAATGAATTGTATATATACCTTAGTATATACATACCTTGCCTAATGTGATATGTTATTTCAATGTTGACTCAACAGAGTATATTTTGGAATCTTTGTTTTACAATGCACATCAAAAATAAAGAATTAAAACAAAAAAGGTACAGACAGTTCATATTATTCTATCCACTTTTTTTCTCTTTTTTTTGTGAATTAGAATGTAATTACCATAATAATATGCAAGTGCGTAGATCACATGCTCCATGTATCTGAGTGCTATATATGTAAGGACTTTTAATTAGTCTCTCCTTATTTATCAGCATTTAGTTTTCTATCCCCCAGACCCTTTTTACTAATATGAGTTACAGTGGGACAACTAGTGCCTCTTGTGACTCATGATATTTTTTACAAGGGAATTTTAAGAAGGTTCTTTTTAGTGTTAATTCTTTCGATAAAGAGGGTCCCATTTAGATTCTGCTTAAGTGTTAATCTATCTCCGAATTGATGTCACGTTATTATTTCTCACCCTTGCAGTGTTCTCAATTTGTATCCCTGAAGAAGTATTGTATTAATAACAAAACATCCTAAAACATAATATGTAATGAAATATGCCAGTTTTTGTTTACTTCTTTAATGTCAATTTATTCAGGGATATTACATGAGAGTACTCTCCAAGTTTATTTTAACAGCATTATCTATAACTCCATCAGCTAGATACAGGTGACTAGTTTAACAGAAATACTATAAAGAAAATTAGAAAAAATAAATATTTTATTATATTAATAAAATACATTATATTAAACATATGGAAACATTTCTACTTTGTTATCAGGGGACAAGTTAGTATTATCATAACAGCATAAGTACTGGATCATAGAGATCACTGGTCCCTGGAATGAGAGAGTGTCACAACAGGATACATCTGTAACGGACCGTTTTGCACAAAAGGGGTAAAAACCGTTTAGGCGATCAGCCCCCTTTCCAGAGATACAGGCACAGCTACCGCAGAACACCAAACTCCTGAACTGGATACAAAATAGTACTCCAACTCCCGAACTGGAATCTCCCAAATAGCTGCTAGCAGACGAACAGGAAAAGCAGACAATCAGCTTACACTCCTGGCAATCAGTCTCTAACAGCATACAGTGAATCCCCCCAAGAACGAGACAAGGCTCCGTGTTGAGGGTCAAGCAGTGGTCTGAGGTGCTGGCACACCCAGCCTGGTTTTTATTACAGTCTTGCAAATACAGGACCGCCCACAGGGAGGTATAAAACAACCAATCACATCACAGTTACATCCCACATATTCCCTCCCCTTATCCTGAGAGGAAACTCAATTATACATACAGTTAAAACATACTTTCTACCCAACTTTCATAACTCTAAAACCATACATCACATTCACATAAAATTACATATTCACAATCAATCCATTCAGGGGAACAACATATTAAAAATGGCATGAATCAGACCAGGGGTTCAAAAGTTAGTAAAAAGTCCTTTGTGACTAAATGAAGCATGGCTTTCTGGCCCAAACCAGTTTCAGAGTCTTCTATCCTGGAGAGTAATTCAATTATCTCCCAGGACAGACACAAGACTCCATTAAGCACATGGTTGCAAAAAGACACAAAACACTTTAAAATACATAAAGTCACATTTATTACATAAAACACAGACATGTAACATATCCCCAGATAGCTCAGGTCCGAGCGCACATTATTAAGCGAATGGCGCTCAGACCACACGAATACAGTTTAATCGCCATGGAGCCAAAGTCTTTACAGTCAGTTTCATACGAATGGGCTCCATGGGATTCCTATCTGGGGTATAACACATTCAAACAAATCTACCGAACCCCAGGCAGAAAAGCACGAATGAAGCTTTTCTGCAGGTAAAAAAGATGTCTTTTAACAGGGGGCCATAGTCCAAAGGCAGCAGGCGAGCAACCAGGCTTCTCCAATGCAATGTGGCGAGATTGGTCTCGTCACATCTCTCCCCTTTTCCAAACAGACTAACAGGGTATCTGACCTCCTGCCGGTCAGTGCCCTTGTTAGTCCAGCAGCCCACCCACAAAACACAATCAACAGCACAGCCCACCCACAATAAATGGTTACTGCACCTGGGTAGAGGAGAAGCTTGTCCATGTCCAGGTGCCTCACCACGGCTGTGCTGGGTACGGGTACGCTGACTTGGTGGGGTGCTGTGTGGGCAGAGACCAGCGGCACTCTGCCCTGTTGCCAGCGCTACTGGGAGGGTAGCCTGGTTGAAGCCTGGTTGTTGGAGGGGGAGACCGACTGTCTCCCCTTTAGATACACAGTCCTGCTGCTGGAGACCGACTGTCTCCCCTTTGGACACACAGCTCTGCTGCTGGAGACCGACTGTCTCCCCTTTGGACACACAGCTCTGCTGCTGGAGACCGACTGTCTCCCCTTTGGCTACTCTAAGCTGTCGCTGGGGAGAGGGGGTAACAGGCTCCTCTCCCGATAGAACACTCTGCCGCTGGGGAAAGGAGACTGAGCTCTCTATTCCCTGCCCATTAATGATCCGCCGCTGGGGAGAGGTGGTAGCAAGCTCCTCTCCCATACATACTTTCATCCTCTGTGGAGGGAGACCGACTGTCTCTGCTCCCAATACAGTGTCCTGCTGCTGGGGAAAGGAGACTGGGCTCTCTATTCCCGGTAGGACACTCTGCCGCTGGGGAATGGAGACTGGGCTCCCAATTCCCTGCTGTATCTCCCGCTGGGGAATGGAGACTGGGCTCCCAATTCCCAAAAAATCATGCTGCTGCTGGGGGGCAGGAACAACTACCTCTGCCCCCTGTAGCTCAGCCTGCCGCTGGGGAGGGAGGACGCTGCTCTCCTCTCCCTGCACTTGACACTGCCTTCCCAGCATATCACTCTGCTGCTGGGGGGCAGGAACAACTACCTCTGCCCCCTGTAACTCAGCCTGCCGCTGGGGAAGGAGGACGCTGCTCTCCTCTCCCTGCACTTCACACTGCCTTCCCGGCATATCACTCTGCTGCTGGGGGGCAGGAACAACTACCTCTTCCCCCTGTAACTCAGCCTGCCGCTGGGGAGGGAGGACGCTGCTCTCCTCTCCCTGCACTTTACACTGCCGCTGGGGAATGGAGACTGGGCTCCCAATTCCCGGCATATCACACTGCCGCTGGGGAATGGAGACTGGGCTCCCAATTCCCTGCATATCACACTGCCGCTGGGGAGAGGAGACTGGGCTCTCTCTGTCCGCAACTGTAGCTGCCGGTGGAGGTCCACCCACCGTGGCAGCTGACCGTCACCCTCTGCCCGGTACAGCAGAGTCTTGAATACTAGACTCCTCACGAACTTCACGGATTTCTCAGCTGGATTAGGTCCGAAGAAGTTCAGCCGCAACCACATCATACGGTCAAATTCCTGTACAGAGTATCTGTACTCCACTGCTGGTTCCATTCTGTTGCTGTCAGGGTCGCTGTACTGAGACATGCGTTGCCCTCAAATTGTAAAATCCACGGAATGGTGTCTCCTGTAGCTGTCCTTCTGGCTGTAGGAACGATCCCGCCGCTTGCCACCAATTGTAACGGACCGTTTTGCACACAAGGGGTAAAACCGTTTAGGCGATCGGCCCCCTTTCCAGAGATCCAGGCACAGCTACTGCAGAACACCAAAACTCACGAACTGGATACAAAATAGCACTCCAACTCCCGAACTGGAACCTCCCAAATAGCTGCTAGCAGACGAACAGGAAAAGCAGACGAACAGCTTACACTCCTGGCAATCAGTCTCTAACAGCATACAGTGAATCCCCCCAAGAACGAGACAAGGCTCCGTGTTGAGGGTCAAGCAGTGGTCTGAGGTGCTGGCACACCCAGCCTGGTTTTTATTACAGTCTTGCAAATACAGGACTGCCCACAGGGAGGTATAAAACAACCAATCACATCACAGTTACATCCCACATATTACCTCCCCTTATCCTGAGAGGAAACTCAATTACACATACAGTTAAAACATACTTTCTACCCAACTTTCATAACTCTAAAACCATACATCACATTCACATAAAATTACATATTCACAATCAATCCATTCAGGGGAACAACATATTAAAAAATGGCATGAATCAGACCAGGGGTTCAAAAGTTAGTAAAAAGTCCTTTGTGACTAAAT